CAAAAATTATTGTTTTAATGCCAAGGAAATATTACTATTCCCTCACCGGAGTATGGTAAATAGAAGCATCCTTTATGTTCTTTACCAGGAAAATTAAACAAAGAAGCATAATTATGAACAGATATTTGTTTCTGGACTCTCTGGTTATGTAGTCAAGTTCGAGCACCAAGCATCATGCTCTCAGGTTGAGGTATAAACGGTTAATGTATTTTTGTAATTTATGTTTCTTTTTCTTCTGAAAGAAGAACGTATTACATGAGTGTTGGTCAGCTTTGGTGTTATTAAAGGTTTTAAACCAGAGTCTTCAGGACTCTTGTTCAAAATGAATGCATAGATCACAACTGGGCACCACCCAAGATCAGGTTAGAAATGCAGATTCCCAGGCTCTACCACTGGCCTGCCTACTCAGAATGTACAGCTTTAACAAGATTCTCAGGTGATTTATTTGTGCACTGATTTTTGAGAAGCACTGTTCTAGAACTGTAACGCTGCTGGTTTTTTCAAACAGTTTTCTTTGGCTATCATTAATCCAAATTCTGTTTATACTTATCCTGGATATTTAGGTTTGACCTAGTTAATTAAAAAAATCTTAAGCTTAGAAATCATTTAATCATTTACTGGAATCAGCAAACAGAAACTAGCTCATTTAAAATTAGAGAAAAGTTGTTTAAAAATACGTCACTGAAGATACTCTACAATAGCAAGTAAGCACATGAGAAGATAACTTTAGTCATGAGGACAGTGCAAGTCAAAGCCACAGAGAGTTGACACTACCCCTCAATTAGGATGACAATGGTAATAAACACAAAGGTCAAACCAGATAGTAGTAAGGTTCCAGGCTCATTAGTACTCTTAAACATTGCAGGTGGGAAGGCAAAATGGTACAGTTAGTTTAGAAAACAGTTTGGCAAATTCTTACAAAGTTAGTAATATGTTATCATCCTAACAGTCTTATCCCTGGACCTAAGCTAAGTGAAAACGTATATAGAGGTATATAGCAGTTTCATGGCCAATCACCCAAACCTGGAAACAACCTAATGTCCTTAAACTGATGAAAGAATAAACAAACATGGGAAAAGCCATTTAATATAGAATGAAACAGGGTCACTAAAAAACAAAAACAAACAAACAAAAAAAAAAAACCAGTTACAGATACACACACAACAATGTGAATCAATTCAAAATGTATCATTCATTATGTTTGACTTCCACTCATTGGACATCCTAGAAAAGAAAAAGTACAGGCATGAAGGACTCCAGGGTCTGGGTGGATGGAGTACGACTATGGCTGCTGTGTGTTGTAGGAGTTGCTCTGCATCCTGAGTGTGGCTGGGTTGGCCCTACTCTAGGTGTTTGCCAAATCTCCTAAAACAGGAGACCAAAAGCATGCTTGAATGTATGCAAATTCAAAGGAAATATATAAAAATGATTTATTATTTGCATCATGTGTTTTATACTCTTGGGCTATACTGAATAGTCAGCCTAAACAAAGCTAAATCTAATGAACAATATCAGGAGGTGGCAGCCGTGACAGCAAGTGTGCCTCCCTTCTCCCTTACCCCTCCCAACCTCAGTGTTGTGGTTCAGCTCTTGGTTTTTATTCTCCCCTTTTGACCATGCACTCTTTCTGGACTGTGATCTCCCCCCGCTGTGACTAGGCATGACCTGGGGAACCTGGGAGGGAAATGGAGCCTGAACATTTGCATACTGTAATTAAACTGCTGTATCAGGGGCCTTCTTTCTGTGGTTATGTTAGAATGGAAGCAAAGGTGCACCTCTGATTCAGAGTTTGGAGTGTTATTCCTGGGAACTGGAATGAATAGCACTGTCCAGGAGGGCTTGTGTGACTCACCACTTTAATGCAGCCACGTGCCGTCCTTTGAAGGGCACATCTCCTGGCATCACCGTCCTTCATGGGCTGGGCTTATCTCAGGTAAGAGAGGCCTTTCTGTTTGGATCCTTTCCGGACAGGGGTGCAGAGAAAGATGAGAACCTGGCCCATGGGTGGAGGCTGCTCCTTGTCCATGAAGTTCATTTGCATATCTGAATGGAGGCAAGACCTGGCTGGAGCACTGAATTGGAGATCTGAGCTGCACAGACAGTGTGAGGGCTTCTCTGCCTCCACCTAGGTGACTGCATTACAGATCACTGCCCCAGTTAGCTCGCCATTGTCATAGTAGGTGATTTATAATAGAACGTCAAACCAATTTCCACGGTTTAAGTTAATAAACTGCTTTCACACAGCTTAACCTTTCTAGCTTCAGGTTCAGAAGGGAAAAGAATGGCTGAGAGAGGATGTTATTTTTCTGTAGGAATAGAAGAGCTTCCAGCTTCCTTGCCCTTTCTTCCACAATTATTCCATGAAAATCTTTAGCTAACAAAGCAGTTTTGATTATGGACTCACCCCCCCCCCCCACTTTGGAAGTGTTGAGAAAGAAACCCAGGACCTCATACACCCTAAAAGCACTCTACCATTGCTACGCTCTCAGGCCTTCTTATTCATTTTCAAATCATTGAACTTCAGACCTGACCTTTTCTTTTTCTAGCTTAAAAAATATATTACAGATAAACTGAGAAAAATCCAGCAAGGTGAAGAGAGCAGGTTAAGGTCACTTAGCCTGCAAATTGCATCCTTAGTAAATTAGGACTTAAACTTGTAAAGTACAACTTTATAGGATTTGACTGTGTTGCTGTTGGCATCTAATGTATATAAAAGCGGCCAAATTGCTTTGTGGACAAACTTGACAGTTGAGGGAGAATAAACAGAGGCACTTTATGAGGTGCTTTGGATTCTTTAGGGTCAGTAAAGTGATTACAAAGCCACATTGTTCAATGGGACATGAAAATAAAATAAAAATAAAAGGAGTCAATTACATTTGCAGTTGTGGGTGAAAAAATCTGTGTTAGCCCTGTTGAAGTGAAAGAATTAAAATAACTTATTAAAATGCATCTGTGAACATTATGACCTTGAAAAGAAATAGACACTTTCATTTTTATTCCCAAAGCAGCCCAGCAGTAGTCCCCTCCTGCCCTGGTGTTATGCACACCAAGCAGTCATGGCTTATTCTTCAATATAGTTAGTTCTTGAGCTAAAGAGAATCAAGATTCCTTGCAGATCAATTGATTACATGTCTCAGGATGGAGAAAACTTGGGGCGGAGTTAGAGCTGTGGTGGCTGCCAAAAAACAAGCACAGAAGCTCTGAAAATGTCTAGAGCCATTCTGAAAGAAACAGGAGATGGCTTTAGAAGACCCACTGGCCAAATTGTAATAATTTGAGCATCAAAAGAGAATATGCTCTAAAACTAATTGAAATGAATTGAGTCTATAGGAAAGCCAGGCACTGAAAGAGGAAATTAGCTCATTAAAATGTATAAGATGGCAATTACAATATAAAAGAAGGGTAAATGCGATTTTTAAATTAACTAATGATAGAGAGGGGCTATGGGAATACATGAAGTTCTCTTCCAAGTACATGTTTGCACCAAGAGCATGTCAGTCAGTTCAAGGGGCAGCAGGTGGGAACTGGGTGGAGAGTGTGGGTGGGGTATTGCTACATGAGAGACTGATCAAAATTCAGAAGGAAAGGTTGGCATCTCAACTCTGTCTCTTATGTGTTAAAAAACAGAACCTCTGGAATATTTAACCAGTGTGTTGAGATGCAAAATTACATAATGTGTTAGAGTATAAATTGAGGCTAAACATCTTGCAAGTCAATGGTTATGACTGCCCCCAGACAGGGGCCGTCACCACCCACCACTCATTACCTCACAGCCCTGGGAGCTGAGATCTCCAAGATGCAGGTGTTGTCAGCATGGGATCATTCCAGTGCTGTGAGGGACAGTCTGTAACAGGCATCTCACTGGCTTGTGGGTGGATATCTCCCTGTGTCCACAAATGATCACCCCTTTGTGTGACCCAGTTTCCCTTTGTTATAAAGACCCCAGTCATAGTGGATCAGGGGCCACTCTAGTGACCTCAGGTTGATTATCTTTTCAAGTAATTCGTATGTTGAAGCCTTAACACCTGATGTCTTAGCTTAAAACATTTATCTCCAAATGTAATCACATTCATAGGCACAAGAAGTTAAGACTCCAAACATATAAATTTTGGGAAAGACACAATTCAGCCCATAACCTATGTCACAGAGGAGACACAGTGCAGGAAGAGAGCACAGCATCTGTTTTCAAGAAAAGTCATGGTTATGGATGTTCCCATTTAATGCAATGCGTTGACCTTGATTCCCAGAGGAAACCAAGTAAGAAACACAGGGAAGACCCAATGGGGTTCCTTGTGCTGAGCAATCATCAATGTATGTCCAATGCTAACAATCACCTGAATGGCAATAATATTTTCCTTTGGTGTCTGATAGGTCATCATAACTAGGAAAGATGCAATAAAATATATGACAACTCATAAATAATGAAGACATTGGGCAAACCTATAAAAATCCATAATTATCTCATAGATTACCAGCAAACAAGACAATAGATTTTACAATGATTGTGATAATTTGTGCACCTCTTGTGTGTTTTTAAGGTGATTGAGGCACTTAAGAGAACACAGCATATTAAGTTTGGGCTTTTATTGAGATGTGTGGAGACTTTGACTAAGGTTTATAATTAACCTTTAAATGTGCTAGAGAATTTGTAAAATCAACATATTGATGTGTTAATTGTGTAATTTTTGTCAAAATAGAGAATTTTCACCTAATGTACTTACAAGTATAATGCCTTTGAGTGTTACAGAAAGAGCAAGTAGTAAATTTGATTTCCTATGCCCACACAGTCTCCTTCAGAACTGAAGTCCTTCCAAGATTCCAGAGGCAGTCTGGGGCAGGAGCCGAGCAGGAGGGCAGCACTCTCAGTGCCGAGCAGTGTGTGGAATGCTCTCGGGGCCCTCACCTTGCACCCTATCCTTCTCAGACTGCAGGACCCTACTATTCATCTCACAGAGGCTGAGTTTCGCCCAAGTTGTGTCATTTCTGCTTTGCTCTTGTAGGATGAAGATCTCTGCTAGCCCAGAAGTGACGATGCTTCTGCAGCAGATGGGAGGGTGGATGATGACTTGCCACCACAGAGGCCCACATCACAGCCATCCTTAGAGACACTGATCCTCACTGCTACACTCAAGCTCCGGGCTTCCTTCCTGCCGTGCTGTCCTCCCACCCCTCCTCAGAGATGAATGGATCCCCAGCAAGCACGAGAGTGGAGCCAACTGATTTCAAAACACAGCATTGAGGAAAAACCCTGTGAAGGCATTCGGTCAACTCCGCATGTGGACAGTATGTCAGGACTTCCCACTTGATGATCTAGTCAATATCATCTCTTTGCAATGATGAAAAATAATAAATAAACCTGAATATTCATTGGTTGAATCTAATCTGAGGACTTCTCAGGGATTCAACCAGTTGAAGATCAAAAATATTCAGAAAAAGAACTTGTCTCTGCATTGATCACATACAGACTTTTAAAAACTGTCATTATTCCCTAAACAATACCATATAGCAGCTTTTGGCATCACATAACACTTACAGTGCATTAGGTATCGTAAGCAATCTAGAGGTGATAGGAGCATGGAAGGGGAGGTGCACGGGTTATAGGCAGACCCATGTCATTTTATAGAAGGGACTGAACATCCGTGGGTCTTGCTAACCCTGAGAGGTCCTGGAACTATTTCAGCCCAGATATTGAGGGACGATTGTGTGTCCCTTTTCCTCAACCAGGCAGGGAAGATAAGAAACTAGGGATATTAATATATGCTGTGAGCTGTAAAAATTGTGTAGGCATTTCTTAATTTCTTTTATGACTATGAAAATACACATTCTATCTTTACAGAAAGGAAACAACCCATAGACATCATAAAAGAATGCTGATAGACCACTTTTCTTTTAAAAGAAAGAAAAAAAAAGATAACATTTTATTCTCATGACAGAGAAAGGCAATACCCAACTGCAGAATATATCAAATTAGTATAATTTCTTTGGAGCATCAAGACTTCAAGCTTTTAGTTTTTAAACTGCCTTTTATGGTTTTCAGTAATTTTACCATTGTCATCATTTTAAAAATAAATGTACATGGCATTTCTGCAGGGCCTGAACAGGAAAAGTGGCATTGTTTGGGAGAAAGAGAAAGGATGGGAGGGAGGGAGGGAGGAAGAGAGAGAGAAAGGGCGCTATTACTAAAAGGGAGGGGAGAGGAAAGGTAGGAAGGGAAGGACAGTATGACACTGTTCCAAGGTGACAGATATTGGAGGAGCTATTGAAGACAGCATCCGTTTTCTCTGCAGGAGGAAGAGAGTGTTTAAAAGTGTGTTGGACTTGCTGAGTAATTCTGCAGCCTGGTTCCTGTGCCCTCCTGGAGCTGCTGGGGCAGGGACTGCCATCTTCTGGGCTCTCCTCCTGCCCCGCCCCCACCAGGTGGCATGCAGGCTGTCAATCTGGTGGCCTCCAGATTAGGCCAGCTTTGTTACACAGAACTGGAGTGCTCAGCATTAGGGAAAACTAAGTTTGCCTTTTCAAAGGACCCTCATGCTTTTGAGGACATCCTCTCTTCTGTGACTTATACCAGTGGTTCTCTGTTTCTTGGGACTTAGGACTCAGGAGTCAAATGAGCTATATGCCACACGTGTGTACCACACACATACACACACATGCACATGCTCACACTTATCTCCCATTGGCCCATTAGTGCTGCTTCCTAGTGCACACTGACCGCTATGGCTCATCCCCTTTTGCTGGGGTCTGACTTCATGTCCCTTGTGTTCCCCAGGACAACAGCTGGAAGCAACTTGAATTTATAATTCTTTATCATTTTTCATTATAAGCAAATGCTCCCATCTACGACTTTGGTTTAGCCTCATGTTCAGTCTTTTTGTCGAGACAGGGGTAAATGTTACTCAACATTTCTTTACAGGAGATCACAGAGCCAGAAGGGATGGGGGTGAACTTCTGGCTCCAAATTAGTTTCTGGAAAGGAAGGCGAGGACCAGGCAGGCAAAGGTGGCAGCTCAGGGAGCTCACTGGAGCCAGGGGCAGAGCCCTAAGGAGATGCCAGGTTTCCTATCACACCTCCGTTTTGGAGTTCAGACAGTAGGGGTCAAGAGGAGAGGGTGGAAACATGCTAGAAACCTAACTTTCAGGATTTTATTTCATCGTTTCTCACTTCTTGGGTTAAATCTTTAGGCCTTTACATTCACTGTGCTCAGAGAAGGCAGACAGACCAACTGCATGCCCCAGAGTGGAAAGTGAAATCCTACCCAAGGCTAGGACTTTGTTCCTCCTCTGCCGCTAATTACCTTTGTGAATGCAAGCAATGATTTTCCCTCTCTGAGCCTGTGCTCCTTTAATCGACAAAAAGAAAGTATCAAAACTGATCTTCAAACTTTTCCCAGGCAGAGATATCTACTTCTCAGGTGAAATGCAACTAGGACTGTGATATGTGGAGTGAGCACAAGCAAGCAGCTGGGATTGGTATCCCCCACCCAGCAGGAGGGAATGGACAGAGGCCTAGGCTGGTGGGAGCCCCTCTTCGTGGGAGCAGCTCCAGCCTCTTCCAGATTCCATAGGCTTCCCCAAAAGGAGCGTGGAAAACTCTAAATATTTGACCTTCAAGGGTCTCTCACATTTCCCAACCTTATGACATGGTGGAGGGGAAGTCCCAAGGAAAAGGGAGGCTCAGGGTTTTGTTACTGCGAGGTTCTCATCTTGCGAAGAGGCAGAGGACTCCTGCTCCTGCCTACCTGGGCTGCCTGTAGCTTTGCAAGGCATCTGTTTGCAAGAGCAAAGCCTAGGGTGCAGCATTGGGAAGGGGGCTTTGTGTTCCCCTGTGGGAAGAAGAGACTGAAAAAGTGTGGGCTGTAGGAGTGGGGAGGGACATCTGAGGGGCTTCCTTAACAAGGCATTTCCTCTAATCTGTGAGCCCAACACAGCAACCCCCATGACTGTGGATAGTCACCAGGCAGCCGTCCTCAGATTCTTCTCACCACCACATCGGTCAAGGGAAGGCTTGCTGGAGCTTGCCCACTTGCTCTGAGGGCCTGCAAGAATCACAGAGCCATTAACCTGCTAGACTGGCTCCTCTCACTGGGCTGCTGGGAACTGCAGAAGGGAAGACAATGGGTTCCCTCACGGGCTCAGGCAGAGATTCATTCAGGAGTAGTATGGAATCCACCCAACAGAGCACACACGGATCACGTTTATTCTAGATTCACCAGTTAGTGGGTTCTCTGGGTGCTGGGCCTTTCTAACTCAGGGATGATAGATTTCATGTCATTCCTTCTCTGAAAACTAATATATATATATATTCCTATTTCTTCCTAGGAGCATCCTTACCCCGCTCATCTGCATCTGTTGGTCCCACTATGTGCTATCATGCGGCACAGCCGTGACAATCACATGTACTGCAGTGAAAGTTCTGAGAGGGCAGGGCCTGGGAAGAGCTCAGCCCCACAACAGCCAGCTAGCAGGTGTTCAGTAACCCTGGCTGGAAGAACTCACCAGTATTGCCACCCTGCACCCTGGTACACAGTTGTGGGTCTGACCTCCTCCTCTACCTCCCTATGGGCTGTGAATCCCTAAAGCTTGGAGCTTCACCTCTTCCTGCTTGGCACCTTCTTGTGGGGCAAGGAAGTGAGCCTGGTTTAAATTCAAATCCATGACCTGCCGTATCCAGCAGGCCGTTCATCCACCTCTGCATTCCTTAAATCTGAACATGAAAAGGAAAACACAATTTCCATATTCAGAGCTATGAAAATTACAGAAAGAACACTGGAGACTTGCTTAGGACAACCCACAGCAGAGAATGGACACACAGTAATTGCCAGCTTTTGATAGGAACTTTGGTTTATTTAAGCTTCTTTTATTGATCATTGTATTCCTGGTAAAATTCTCTCTTTGTTGGTGTCTATCTTGTCTCTCAAACTTCTTTATATATTTTCTCCAAATTTGTAGATATTTAACCTTTTTCTAGATCTGTATATCATCCTTTCTGTGTACATAAAGAGAGACAGATGTATAGATAGATGTAGATAGGCACATGAAAAAACATACATAATAGCAATGTGCATGTAAATTTTAGATTCCAAAATTGCCTTTTGTGTGTAGTACATACTAAGCATATGTTCTACGACTGAACTACATTACCAACTACATCACTAAAATTTGTAATTTCTCTTCTGAACCATTTGAAAAATGGATTACTTAATCCTGCCCTTTTACGTGTTAGTATTTCCATATGTAATCACTAGGGATAGGAATATTCTTTCAAAAACCACAGTGCTATTGCAGGTAAGACATCTTACATTGAGAGAATACTTTAATCTAATCTTCATGCCACTGTTTGTCAATTGTCCTGATAACGTGCAAGCACTACCCCTCTAGTGTCGGATCTGCTCATGTAGGGACCAAGTCTGTTTAGTCTCCTTGAATCTGAAAGCTTGCTCAGTCTGCCCCATTTCCAGACGTTGCTGAAGAATCTGGCCCCACTGTGCAATGTTCTTCAGCGTGGTTTTGGGTGAGGCTTCTTCATGACAGTCTCAGGTCTTCTCCCTGGCAGGAGTGCTCTAGCAGGAGTGGGTGCTGCTCATATGTCAGCCCAGAAACATGAGACATCCACCTGTTTTTTGCTGCTAATGTTCATTTTGACAACACAACCAAAGTGTCTCTGTCCTCACCTCTGCCTTGCTATTCTTCTTCTTTAATCAACTAACAAGGAATCCTGGGGAGACCGCTACAGATCATCAAAGAATTCTGCTCCCCATCAAATTGCCCCTGCCTTGGCACCCCTGATGCTTCTTGCTCAGCCCATCCTTCACAACCTCTCACCCACATTTTTACCATGGGCTTCCTGCTGTAAGGTGGAGCCGAGCATCCAAGGACAGAGCCCGGTGGCCAGCGAGAGGTTGTGCTGGAGACACTGGTTTGTGGGTTAACTCCAGAGCTGCCTGAGAAAGGCTGGCACAAAGCCTGGACTAAAGCCAGGGAAATGAGGGGCCTTCAGCACGGGGGCATGGAGGGAAAATGCAACTGCAGGAAACCTAGTGGTGTGGGAGAACCTGGCACAAGCAACCGCAAAGGGGGCTTGTGTCCCACTCGGGGTACTTTCTAAATGTTGCCCAGGAGAGTCCTTTGCATCTGTTTGTCCAGAACACTGTAAGGACCTCACTGATCGCACAACCTTTTCCTGTGTTTCAGACCATATTGGAGATGAAGTACCAAGCCACTGCTCAGCATCATGTAAGTGCTCATTAAATACCCCCTTCCTGTGCTTCCCTTCACATTGTGTTGTGGAGACATCACCATGGAAACTCACCTCTCCACTTTTGCTGAGGCCCCTTTAAAATTTTCTGCAATTACTCTAAAAGCTTCATTTTTTTTTTCATCT